AATAGGCCGAAGTTGGAGTAGGAGTGGTCCAGAGGGTCAATGTGACTGTGACCCAGGCCCTGATGTCATCAGGGAGAACGGTCCTGGTGAGAGAGACAGCACGTGCTGGCTGCACCGCAGACATGTTTGCATGGCTGGATCGTGACTGAGGGAAGTCAGGGTTCACCCAGAGGGGCTGGGGGCCCATCCGGCAGGGACAGAGGTGGTTCTGGCAAACCCATAATAATAACAACAAAATCTACTGAACTCTTACCCCACACAGCTAATGCTTAGAAATGATTGGTAATTGGCACTCTCCCAGCTAACGTGCAGGGGCGCAGAAATCTGCCCCGTATGTTTGTGCCTCTCAACTACCCTGCTTCTCATGGAGGCCCCCAGCCTGCAAAGGGGTGTCCCTTTGATCTGTGACAGCCATGCTTTTCTTTAGATTTCTCGGTTCATTGCTTCTCGTTGTCTTCTTGGTAGAGACTCGGAATCTGCCCCAGGTGTCTGGGAATGACGTAGAGCCGCACAGGCAGGAGGCCTGAGCCCTGAGTGTGACTGTGCTGGGTCTGCCTGGCAGCCTGCAGGGGCAGAGGGGATGCCTAAGCAGGGTATGCCATAAGAATGGCGAGAGGAGACAGGGTAAGCAGAGAGGCTGAGAAGAGGCAACAGGATCAGAGCAGGGGGATGGCGGAAAGGGAAAGAGTGGGTCAGGTGGGGGCACTACTGCAGCTCCATTCCCATGTCATCCAGTTCCACAAATCTGATGTGAAGGCCTTGCCTGAGGGGTTCTGCATTTTATGCATGGCTCGGTTATTCGCCTCATTAATGCAAAACTCCCCAGAAGGTGGGACTCATTCCCCATAGGAATAAATATACAGTAGGAAGAGAAGATGTTCCCTCCGCACAGATAATCCACAACCACTGCAGCATATGGTCACTGTTTTTGCTTTCTCAGCCTGATCTCTCAAATCCCAAAATTGACAGCTCAGCCTCAGAGAGGCGGCCACTTGGCTGTCTATCATGCTGACACTGCACACCAAAGTTAACGACTTTAAGGCACATTTTTCAGCCCTGGTGCTGTCACCTCTTAATGAAGGCGTGACGACGTGTTGGAGGGTTTTTAAATTAATATTTAAAAATTATTTTTAAATTATTACAACAGTGAGTTACAAAATAACAATGCAAGAGTCCTCAAAATCCAAAGCAGGTGTTCTGACTCATGTAAACAGACACCCCGCCAGGCACTGGCAGAGACTGGGGACATTTCTATTTCTGCTCTCAGCTGACATGGTGCCACCATGTGGTAACAGCATTAAGCACCAGGTCACGCAGCCTGCGGAGGCAAAGCAGGGACCCGACTCCCAAGGGGCATCTTAATCGCTACATGTCGGTTTTGAAATCTTGCTGTTTTCTGTGAGTTTTGTTTTAATGGTGGAAATCTACATTATGCCAAATCTGGCTCATAGAATTTTTTTTATGTTGGTTTCTTTTTAAATATTAATCACGGTCACTTTATTTCACAAATGTAATGGTTTTTTGGTTTTTTTTTTTTTTGAGACAGAGTCTCACTCTGTCACCCAGGCTGGAATACAGCGGTGTGATCTCAGCTCACTGCAACCTCTGCCTCCCAGGTTCAAGCGATTCTCCTGCCTCAGCCTCCTGAGTGGCTGAGATTACAGGCATGCACCACCACACCCGGCTAATTTTTTTATTTTATTTTTTTAGTAGAGACAGGGTTTCATCATGTTGGTCAGGCTGGTCTTGAACTCCTGACCTCAGTATCTGCCTGCCTTGGCCTCTCAAAGTGCTGGGATTACAGGCGTGAGCCACCGTGCCCAGCTTTGTTTATTTATTTTTTGAAACAGGGTCTCACTCTGTCATCCATCCTGGATGGCCTCAACCTCCAGAGCTCAAGTGATCTTCCTGCCTAAACCTTCCAAGTAACCAGGACTATGGGCACATACCAGCACGCCTGGCTAATGTTTTAAAATTTTTTATAGAGACTGGTCTCAAACTCCTGGTTTCAAGAGATCCTCCCATATCAGCTTCCCAAACTGTTGGGATTGCAGGCATGAAGCACCATAGATGCTTTTATATGGTTCTCCTTTAAATTCAAACGATTAGAATCCACATGAGATGCAACCAGACTGTGAGCTCTGTACCAGGCTGGGGGCCTGGCTGTGGGGTAGCAGGCCTGGCCCTGCCCTCGGAGCTGACCAGGAAGTAAGCCCGTCTCAATACAATGAGACAGTGCTATGGCAGGGGAGGGACAGGGGCTGCAGAAGCACAAAGGCCAGCTAACTCTGAGTTTCACCAAGAAAGGGGGTATTTAGGGAAGACCTTCTGGAGGCAGTGACAGTAAATTGTAACCAGAAGGATGGCTGATTAAGAGTCAGCCAGGGGCCAGGCACGGTGGTCCATGTCTGTAATCCCAGTATTTTGGGAGTATCACTTGAGCCCAACAGTTCAAGACTAGCCTGGGCAATATAGTGAGACCCCCATCTCTAAAATAAAATAAGTAAAATGAATTTTTAAAAAAGAGTTAGCCAGGGAAGCAGGCAGAAGAGCAAGCAAGAGCCTGGACGTCCTGCGAGGGCTGAGCTGTGCTAGGGACTCAGAGCATGCCAGGCTGGGGGAAATGAAGTGGCAGGGGCCAGGTCACCAAAGGCCTTAGAAGTCCTGCTATGAGTCCTAAGAGTGACACCACAGATATGCACGTGACAAAGGCTCTCCCTGCTGCTGAGACTGGATGAGGTATGGGAGGAGCACAAGATTGGCTAACTGTCCAGAAAGCAGGTATGCCTGCTCAGCCTGCATTCCTAATGCCCTTGCCCTTTTTGTCTTTTATTTGATTCACAGGAGAAAGAGGGACCGCAGGCTCCAGAGGAAGAGCATTGCTGGACCACACACTGTGGATAAGACAGGAGGTAAGGTAGAGAAGGATTTCTATAACCCCGAGAGTAGCAGCCTTCCCTGCTTCCTATTACTGCTATTCTGAGGGAACTGTGTTGGCAACAGCATGGTGGGAGCTTCTTTTGTGACATTGGTTCCTCTGGAATGGGAGTGGGGGGCAGTCTGGGTTTTCAGTCATTAAAATGAACCAGTCACTGTACACACACACCAATTAGTGCATTAAATAGTATCAAAGTCAGCCAAGCACAATGGCTCACACCTGTAATCCCAGCACTTTGGGAGGCCAAGGTGGGCAAATCACTTGAGCTCAGGAGTTCAAGACCAGCCTGGGCAATATGGCAAAACCCTGTCTCTACAAAAAAAATAGAAAAATTAGCCAGGCATGCTGGTATGCACCTGTAGCCCCAGATACTCAGGAGGCTGAGGTGGGAGAATCACCTGAGCTTGGGAGTGGGTTCTGTTATTATCCCCATTTGCTGAGATGTCTAGAGATTATGACCCAGGGTTGTGTGACAGATAGGTCAGTAGCCGATCCAGGGTTTAATCAAGTGTTCTCAATCACGTGTGGTCAGGTCATGGGAATGGGTCATGACAGTGACTTAATACAGTTCATGTCAAATTATAAATTCCAGGAAACTGAAACTCTGTTTTTCCCCTATCCCCAGCACCTAACACATGGCCTGGTATACATAGCTGGTGCTCAATACACACTGGATGAATGATGTGGCCAGAGGCTGTCCTTCTAGGCAGCCTCCACCCAACTCTGCCAACATGGTATAGGTATGGGGCAGTTGGATGTGCACAGGAGAAACATACCACAGGTGCCCACATCACAGCTGGGCAAGCTGGACAGCACTATGGGATAACAGTGCCCACTTATCTGGCAGATCAGGCTAGAGGCAAGGAACTGATATACCTTCTCAATGTCCCAGTCCATGGAAAGCCTAGGGCGGAGGGGATTCCCTGGGACAGAATTTCTAGTGCTCCCCGATATTCCTGTCATGACCCACAAACCAGGAACCCCGTATTTCTCTCTCTTCCCTCTTTTATAAGAAAATTAGGGGCCGAGCTCGGTGGCTCACACCTGTAATCCCAGCACTTTGGGAGGCCGAGGCGGGAGAATCACAAGGTCAAGAGATGGAGACCAGCCAGGCTAACACAGTGAAATCCCATCTCTACTAAAAATACAAAAAGCTAGCTGGGCATGGTAGCACACGCCTGTAGTCCCAGCTACTCAGGAGGCTAAGGCAGGAGAAGCGCTTGAACCCGGGAGGCAGAGGTTGCAATAAGCCAAGATCACACCACTGCACTCCAGCCTAGTTGAGCGAGACACCGTCTCAAAAAAAAAAAAAAAGAAAAAAAAAAAAAAAAAAAAAAAAAAAAAAAAAAAAAAAAAGAAAAGAAAAAGAAAATCAGGTAACACTGCAGTAGGAGTTGAGTTTAAAATCAGAGCATATAGCAAAACTACAAATAATCCAAGTAATCCTTTAAAAAACAAACAAACAAAAACTAGAGACAGGGTCTTACTGTGTTGCCTAGGCTGCTCTCAAACTCCTGGCTCAAGCAATCCTCCTGCCTCAGCCTCCCAAAGCACTGGGATCACAGGAGTGAGACACTGCACGTAGCCCAGGTATCCTTAAACGTTCCTCAAAACCCCACAATTACGCCTTTGGGAATTCCAATAATTAAATTCTTTGGTTTCTCCTTGCAGTTCCGCTGTGGCCACCCTTTCTCCGGGATAGTGGAAATGGGGTCTAGTTGATGGAGATCAGGGCAATGGGGACAAGAAAAATAAAAAAGGTCTTTCCTCTCTCTTGGGCTTTGCTTCTTTTGCCAAGTCTCTAGAACTGAAGCTGCTGAAGTTACAGGAGCCCATGACGCTCCTGTGCCATGAAACAGAAGACTCCAACCTCTACAGAGCAGACAAGAGTGCAGGCCCACTCCAGCCAGGCAGAGGTGCTGCCAAAAACAGACCATGTGTGGTACCCTCTGACTGCCTGGAGACACCTCGTGGGCTCTGTGAGGGGCAGGCTAGAGAAAGAAGCAGGTGGGGGTCCCCTCCCCACCACACCCACCCACAGGGAGGCTGAGGAGCTGCTTACCCCCACCACAGGCCTGGATGAAAAAGAGCTTGGGCTTCCCTCCCAGGCTGGGGCAGCTGGTCCCATTGAAGATGTTCACAATCTTCTCAAGTGACACAGGGTATCCATCTGTGCCGTAGACAGCCCCTGGAAACTGCAGGTGGCTGGCCTAGAAGACCAAGAGCCTTGGTTACAACACCAAGAAGCTGGAGTACGAATCCCACAGCCTGTTCAGAGGTTTTGTGGGGGCCAAGCATTCGGAAGGTCAAAGCCAAGGGCACGAGGCTAACTGAGACAGAGAAGGTTGGTTCTGGAAAGACTGGTCAGCATCTATTCCAGGGGTCTCATCTCAAACTCATATGCTTCTAGAGGCCACAGTATGCCAGGAGAGTGCTGCCTGCGGCCTCTAGACCACTGGTTCTCAAAGTTTGGCCCCTGGAGCAGCAGCATCAATATCACTTGGAAACTTGTAAGAAATGTGATTCCCCGGCCCCACCCCGACCTCCTAATCAGCCATCTGGTCTTCCGGGCCCCTCTGACTGAGGCAGCTCAACGCTGACAGTGGCTGCTTTAAATCAATTCAGCTCAAACCTCAAGTGCACAGAAATCACCTGGGAACTTTGTTACTGGGTAGACTGGGAATGAAGAGGTCCAGGGTAGGGCCTGGGAGTCCACATTCCTCATGAGCTCTAGGGACCACAGTATGAGAGAAAGGACCAAAGCGAAGGCCGTGCCCAGCCACATGCTGGAGTTTCACTGGCTGAGGATGCCAGCCTGGTCAGGCAAGACCTTTGTGGTTTGTCAAGAAAAACTAGGAATTCTGATTTTTATGTGAAATTTGCCAGTTTTCAAAACACTGTGCAGACCACAGGGAGACTCCAGGCCCCAGCTTGTAACTGTGATCTGTCCAACTCCTCAACTTAATAGATGAGGAAATCGAGACCCAGGATGGGGTAAGGGCTTAGCCACATGACAAACACATGAGTGAGTGATGAAGCCCCCAGTGGGCCTGGTGTCCTGAGTCCCACCAGCAGCGAGGGGCCTGGAGCAACGCCTTGCAGGACAGGGACAGGAGCTGAGACGTCATGTGTGCTGTGCCCGCCTCTGAACAAGCTCCAGGGGCAGGAGCTTTGTGAGCAGACCTGGTCTCTGCCCTCCCTCTCCCAGAGGGCTTCTCCCAGGAACAACACCCCGCCCAGGAAGGTGCAGCCAACTCTTCAGAGGACCACATGGATCCCAAGAAAACAGCAGGAGGTGGGCAGGGCCCCACAGCCCTTTTCCACAAAGCCAAGGGTGTTTTGGATACAGGAAGGGAGAGGGCCCCTGCACGGCCTCTTGGCACAGCTTTTACCCAATGCCTGCCCAAGGAGCAGAGGGAGGCTTCCTACCTGACAGCCGTGAGAGAGGATGACCACCACACAGCAGTCCAGAGCACCATGGTCCCGCCGTGCCAGCTCCAGCAAAGCCAGCCCCATTTCCTACAAGAGAGGGCTGCAGGTGAGCCAGAAGCACCAACAGGTCTGGCTGCAGCCTCGGCCCTTCCTGACAATAAAAGGGCCCAGCCCAGCCAGGCACAGTGGCTCATAGCTGTAATCCCAGCACTTTGGGAGGCCGAGGTAGGGAGATCATTTGAGGTCAGGAGTTCAAGACCAGCCTAGCCAACGTGGTGAAACCCCATCTCTTCTAAAAATACAAAAAAAAAAAAAAAATAGCTGGGCGTGATGGCACGCACCTGTAATCCCAGCTACTCAGGAGGCTGAGGCGGGAGAATTGCTTGAGCCTGGGAGGTGGAGGTTGCAGCGAACCAAGATCTCCACACTGCACTCCAGCCTGGGCGACAGGGTGAGACTCTGTCTCAAAAACAAACAAACAAAAAACAAAGGGCACAGCCCAAAGGCCTGGGCAGTGCCCTTTCTCGGCTTCCCAGGGCTGGTGCAAGTGCTGACAGTCCCAGCACTCGTAATGGCCACTGTTCTCGGGGAGATGGTGCTGTGCTTGGGCATTGTTCACTTAACCCCTAAAACAACCCAAAGCTATTCTTGCTTTCCAAACAAGGAAACTGAGGCACAGGTCACACAGCAGGTGGCCGAGATGGCCAATCCTCAAACTCGGACTTCTGCGTCTGAAGTTGAACCTGTAGCCACTGGGCCATCCTGCCTCCCACAGTCCTCCAGATGTAAGGCCTCATCTGGGGAGTCAGCTGGCTTTTGGGGTTCCTCGAAAGACACTTCCCCACCCACGGCCCCCCCACCCCGTCTCCCTCCACAGATAGTGAGTGTACCTTGGCAGTCAGGTCGCGCTTCACCTCCACCACGAAATGCAGCGAGGAGAAGCGGAGCTGCAACTTCCCACAGTCGATGTCGGAGCCGGTGCGGGTGCTGAGCCTGGACTCAGGGCTGAAGTTCACATTGTTGATAATGAGGCAGTGGCCACAGGGCTCCGTGCTCATGACATAAGCCTGCCAGCACAGGGACTCACATAAACCCAAGCTCTCCCTGCACTCCCTAGGTGACAGTCTGGAGAGGCAGGAAGAAAACGGGGTCTGCCCTCCTGCACAAGGAGTAGCAGGGTCTCCACCTGGCATTCCAGGGCAGAAGAGAACCAACTGCAGGACAGATGGGCAGGCACTAGAAGGTGAGTCCCCATCTCAGTATTCAGGGAAGGGAGCTGCTAACCTGGAAATCCAACAGCCCACGAGCATTCATCCCAAAGGACCTTCACAGTCACCCAGGCCAGGGGGCACTTGAGAACTCTGTCAGCAGAACTGTGCCCAGGCCACCAGGAGGCACCAAAGGCTGCTCCCTTCCCAGGCTTGGTCCCCTTGTAATTCTCTCTCAAGGCAGCCTGTTCTTTTGTTGATGGTACCTAATCACTATTTCTATTTATATCCTCATCTGCCTAACTTCTCTCTCCCCTAACACACTGATGGCTCCTTCCCAGGTGGCCCTGCCACAGAGCACAGGAGACACACAATAAATACTTGTGAATGAGAGAGTGGTAACTTGGTACGGATCCCAATGCCTGCCCCTCATCAGGTCTCCACCACTTCTGCCCCAAGCTTTGCAGATGAGGAAGAGCAGGGTTGAACAATCTGCCCCAGCAGGTGCTGGGCCGGAGTCAGGGAGGCTGGCCTAGGACTGGGTTCCCTGCGCTCCTGACACAGCTACAGGGAAGGACTTGAGGGCTGGAGAGGGAATGGCACAGAGCCCAAGCTCCTGGCCCCAAATCTCATGGAGACTCACCAAATCTGTATTTTGCCTCAAAATCTCAGGAGCACCTGGAGAGACAGAGAAAGAGGGAAACATGAATGCTGGGGTGCAGCAGAGGAGGGGCATGGAGCTCTATGAGGACAGCTTCCCAAGAAAAGAGCAGCAGGAACTTGGACCCTCAGGCTCTGCTTGGGGGAGAGCCAAATGGCAGAGCTGCCTTGGAGATCTGTTTAGAGGTTTCTTTTCTTTTTTTTTGGAGACAGAGTCTCACTCTGTCGCCCAAGCTGGAATGCAGTGGCGCAATCTCAGCTCACTGCAACATCCACCTCCTGGGTTCAAGCGATTCTCCTGCCTCAGCCTCCTGAGTAGCTGGAACTAAAGGCGCGCACCACCACACCCGGCTAACTTTTGTATTTTTAGTACAGATGGAGTTTTACCATATTGGTCAGGCTGGCCTTGAACTCCTGACCTCATGATCCACCCGCCTCGGCCTCCCAAAGTGCTGGGATTACAGGAATGAGCCACCACGCCCGGCCCTGTTTAAAGGTTTCTAACCAAGTTAAATACACACCTACCCTCTCACCAGCAAGTCCACCCTCAAGTATACATCCAAGAGCAACAAGGGCACATGGGCACACAAGACTTGGCCAAAATGTTCCCTGAGACCTTATTCATAAAGCCCCAACCTGGAAGCAATCAAGCCAACAACAACTTGATGGATATACAAATTGTGATACAGCCATAAGAGAGAACATTATACAGCCTAAAAAGGAAGGAGCTAGTGTCCAGTGTCTACCTAAACAAACAAACAAACAAAAAAACAAAAAAGGAACGAGCTACTGATGATACAGGAGATAGAATACTTAGGCAGATAGTGAGGGTAAAACAGTCCTCAGCAGAATTTCCCTTTTAACAAAAAGCAGCCCCCAAATAATGTCTTTTCTAACAAAGAGCAGCCTGAAAAATGGAGCTACAGACATAGATAAGCAAGCTGCAGGCTCACACGAGCGAATGCCCGCAGCTGTGCCAACAGAAAAGTGTTACTGGGGGCCAGGTATATTCAACAAGGAGGCTCCATCTTCCCTCTTCTTTGTCACCATGAGTACAGTAAAGAAGTAGGCAACAGGCCAGGTGGTGGCTCATGCTTGTAATCCCAGCACTTTGGGAGGCCGAGGTGAGCGGATCATGAGGTCAGGAAATCAAGACCATCCCAGCTGACACGGTGAAACCGCATCTCTACTAAAAATACAAAAAATTCGCCAGGTGTGATAGCACGTGCCTGTAGTCCCAGCTATTAGGGAGGCTGAAGCAGGAGAATCGCTTGAACCCAGGAGGCGGAGGTTGCAGTGAGCCGAGATAGCACCACTGCACTCCAGCCTGTACGACACAGTGAGACTCCGTCTCAAAAAAAAAAAAAAAGACAGAGGGAAGAGAAAACATGCCAAAAATTACAAACGCTAGCCAGGCATGGTGGGCACATGCCTATAGTCCCAGCTTCTCAGGAGGCTGAGGTGGGAGAACTGCTTGAACCTGGGAGGCAGAGGTTGCAGGGAGCCAAGATCACACCGCTGCACTCCAGCCTGGGTGACAGAGCAAGACCCTATCTCAAAAAAATAATAATAAAGAAAAAAAAATAAAGTGATCTTACTATTATTATTATTTATCCTTCAGAATTAAGCTCCTACTAGGAATATTCACAACAAACAGGAAATAAAACACCCTCCAAAAGAAGAGGAAGTTTCCAGTTCTGACTGTTAGTCCTAAATGACTCACACTGACATTTCCCAGAACCAAATAACAACAGACAAACTTTGTATTCTGCCTGCCTCCTTTACAGGACAGTAATGCACATGACCAATTCCAGAACCAGTCTTCTTCCTTATACAGCTTCATAGCCTCATGATGTTTGTCTGTTTCTCTGCATTAGGGGATTGTCCCAAAATCACAGTTATTCAGCAAGTACTCAATAATGTTCACCATTACTATTATGAATATTAACTTTGATATCACACAATGGTCCACCAGGCACCCATGAAACAGCAAGCGCTAGAGCTCCACACGCTGCCATGGGAACAAGGTCCCAACTAATAACAACCCACGTGTCCATCACTAGGAAAATGGCTAAATAAATTGTAGATCATTCAGAATAGGAACTGCTGCCATCTAGAAATTAAAAAGAATGAATTACTGATATGCACAACAATATGAATGAATTTCACAGATAATATAATGATGAGTGAAAGACGCCAGGAGTATATAAGAGTATATAAGAGTATATAAGAGTATATCAAGAGTATATAAGACTAGTTAAGATTTATATTGGGCTGGGCGCAGGGGCTCACGCCTGTAATCCCAGCACTTTGGGAGGCCGAGGCGGGCAGATCACCTGAGGTCAGGAGTTTGAGATCAGCCTGGCCAACATGGTGAAACCCCATCTCTACTAAAAATACAAAAAAATTAGCTGGATATGGTGGCACATGCCTGTAATCCCAGGTACTTGGTAGGCTGAGGCTGGATAATCTCCTGAACCTGAGAGGCAGAGGTTGCTGTGAGCCGAGAATGTGCCATTGCACTACAGCCTGGATAGCTGAGCAAGACTCCATCTCAAAAAAAAATTTATATTGAAGCTCAAGAACAAGCAAAAGGGATCTCTGTCAATAGAGATCAGAACGGTGATTACCTTGGGAAAGGGGAAGTGGGAATAGATGGAAAGAGAGAGGAGAGTCTTACAGGACCCCGGAATGTTTTCATCTTGATGATCTGGATATTAGTTACCTGTGGGTACACATAGGTAAAAATCACCCAGCTGTATTCTTGGGATTTATGCATTTTATTGGATGTAGCCACATGACCTTTGGCAAAGTGTTAATTTCCTTGAGCTTCAGTCAGTTTCTCCATCAACAAGGATGGGTCTAATGATACCTGCCTTGCAGGATTGCTCTAAGGGAAGCAGGCAAGGGTAAATGCTTTGCAGATGTCTGTTTGCATGGGGCAGACACAACCAAGGCCTTTCTCCTGCCCCCAGACATGGGGTAGTCCAAGCTACCCAGACCCAAAGGCAAATCCGAAACAATAGATGGACCTGGAAACGCTGATCAAAACTGGGACCTACTATCTCAAAGCAGGGAAAAAAACAAAAACAAAAAACCCGGGACATCCAAAACAGACCTCAACACATGCTTTTCAAAGGAGTGGTTGCCAAGATTCAACCTCCTAAAGACCCTCCCAGAACCCCACCATCCCTATGAGCATTCAAAAAGACGATACTGAAATTAAATTCTGAATCTGAATCTCAGCCCACCCAGCTGTACTCAGAGTCAGTCCCCAATGACTGCTTGTCATGCCCACCCATCAATCCCTCTCTTGATACTTACCGCCATCACCGGATCCTCCAGAACCAATGTCCACTGGTCTGGGATCCTTTGGTTTGGGAATCAAGAATTTTTCTGTTTGCCTATTAGTTTGCAGGATCGAAGCCAACATGCACTGGCCTGTCTCCTCTAAGCAGGAGATGAACAAAGGAAAGGCTTGACTCCCTCGAGACTCTAGATCTGTGATCAGCTGCCTGGCCTGATCCCGCCGAGATCCACAGCCTGCCCGCTGTTTGGAAAGAAAGGCAGGATACTAATTATCCATGTACTTTTATATGGCTTTCACCTTCTCGTCCCATTTCCCAGCTACTGTACATCTAAACAATCAGGCACCTGGGCAGAAATGGAGCCTGCAGGTACGCTGAGTGTGTGCCACTTACCAACCTTTGCTGATCTAGTCATCATTTTGAAGGGCAAAATAAGCCCGGCACTATGCAAAGTGCTGACAATGCTGCCATGGACGGTCTCAGTCCTTAAGGAGCAAATTTCTAATGGGGAATGCAATCAGACAAATCAGCGATGACACAGCAAGAGACAAGTGCCCAGAGGAAAGGCACCTGGGGCTGGGGGTACAGGAACATCAGGAAGTGAATAGTGAATTCTGAGTTTTATGATGGGGGAGGTAGACAGTGGCAAGGGACAAGGCCTTTGTGTGGCCAGGCCAAGAAATTCATCCTGAGACCTGCCAGGTGCCACCAAAGAGTTTTTTCATTGGTTTTTTGGTTTGGTTTTGTTTTTTTGAGACGGAGTCTCACTGTGTCACCCAGGCTGGGGTGTAGTGGCACAATCTTGGCTGACTGCAATCTCCACCTCCCAGGTTCAAGCAGTTCTCCTGCCTCAGCCTCCCAAGTAGTTGGTATTACAGGCATGCACTACCATACCTGGCTAATTTTTAAAATATTTTTAGTACAGACAGGGTTTCACCATGTAGCCCAGGTTGGTCTCGAATTCCTGATGTCAAGTGATCCATCCGCCTTGGCCTCCCAAACTGCTAGGATTACAGGCATAAGCCACCGTGCCCAGCCATCTTTTTTTTTTTTTTGAGAAAGAGTTTTGATCTGTCACCCAGGCTGGAATGCAGTGGCACCAACTCAGCTCACTGCAACCTCCACCTTTCAGGTACAAGTGATTCTCCCACATCAGCCTCCCCAGTAGCTGGGACCACAGGCATGCACCACCATGCCCAGCTAACTTTTGTATTTTTTGATAGAGATGGGGTTTCACTATGTTGGCCAGGCTGGTCTCAAAATCCTGACCTCAAGTGATTCGCCAACCTCGGCCTCTCAAAGTGCTGGGATTACAGGTGTGAGCTACCATGCCTAGCCATGAAAGTTTTAAGAATGGAGTGACAGAGACAGATATACCTTTTCAAAAAATCTTCCTGAGGTCAGGGTGAAAAATGGAAAAGAGTGAGCCACAGCCAGATCAGGAAGCAGCAAAGACAGTGCAGCTGCAATAGAGCGAAGTGAAAGGACAAAGCAAAGACACAAAGAGGGAAGGGCCACAGGACGTGGGCACTGACTGGGGGACTATGAAGGCAGAGCAAGGGTCAAGGTTCACAGACAGGCCAGGCACAGTGGCTCATGCTTGCAACTTCAGCACTTTGGGAGGCTGAAGTAGGAGGATCATTTGAGCCCAGGAGTTCGAGACCAGCCTGGGCAATGCAGCAGGACCCTGTGTCTACAAAAAACAAAAATAATAGCCAGGTATGGTGTCGCACGCCTGTGGTCCCAGCTAATCAGGAGGCTGAGGCAGGAGGATGGGTCAAGCCCAGGAGGTCAAGGCTGCAGTGAGCTGTGGTAACACCACTGCACTTCAGCCTGGGCGACAGAGCAAGACCCTGTCTAAAAAAAAAAAAAAAAAGTTGACAGGCGTCAGGATGGTGGGGTCAGTGACTAAGGCAGATGGAAGATTCTGTTTATCTGCCACCTGTCCTCAGAGACCTAGCACTGGGTAAGTTCTCAGGATCCACAGACGTAAGATGGCACCGTGTCTTCAAATACCCTACAGCAGCACTGTCCACGAGAACTTTCTGTGATGATGGAAATGTTCTTAGTGGGCATTGTCCCATATGGTAACCATATATCACATGACCACCGAGCCCTTGGGTAGTACGACTGAGGAACTGAATTTTTAACTTTATTTAATTACATCACATTTACCTTTAATTAACTACATGTGGCTAATGGCTACTGTTATGAACAGCACAGACCTGTAGTTGAGTCTCACTAGCAGAACAGTTGACTATGTGCAAACAGATGGTGGTGGTTGGATTTCTCTCCACATGTGCTGAGCACTCCAAGAGGTCAACACTGTGTTAAATACATTGTTTCACCTTTTTCTCCCTCAATAATCTTACAGAGTTAAATTACAATTTCCCAACATTTTAGGGTAAAAAATTTCAGGGAAATTGACTAACAGAAAGGGTTTTTCTGTTTGTTTGGTTCATTGATTGTGGCGTTTTACAACTCACTAATATGTAACAAAGCCAGGATGAGAGTCCAGATCCAACTGGCTCCAAAACCTGTGGGTTTTTCAGCCATACCAGGGTGGCAAAATGGCAACCTGTGGTTCCCACAAAGTTCTTTAAAAATTTCTGAATTTGTTGCTAACATTTTAAGCAAGGGAATTTGACAGAGGAATCAAGATTTCCAGCTTCTTTCTTAAAATGTGAAAGTTGGGCTGGGTGCAGTGGCTCATGCCTGTAATCCCAACCCTGAGGCAGAAGAACCACTTGAGGCCAGGAGTTTGAGACCCCATCTGGGCAACACAGTAAGACTCCCATCTGTACAAAAAAATAAAATTTAATTTAAATTATCCAGGCATGGTGGCATGTGCCTAAAGTCCCAGCTACTCTAAAGGCTGAGGCAGGAAGACCACTTAAGCCCAGGAGGTCAAGGGGGCAGTGAGCCATGATCTCACCACTGTACTCCAGGCTCGGCAAGAGTGAGACCCTGCCTCCAAAGAAGCAAAAGATCTGGCAATCCTGGGCCATTTGCTGATATGGCCATACTCAGCTGGAGACGGAGGGCAGTGCAAAGGCTATCCACTATGATGCCCATCCATCAAGCCTCCAGGGGCATTCGAGCTTGTGATCCCTGTGAACATCCCTGAAGGCAACGACTGTGGCCTCAAACTGCTTCTGTTCCCCAGAAGGGGTCACACAGAAGTCACAAGACTTCTTTTATTATTAATGAATAATTACCCATATGATACTCAATTATTTAAAGACTCTTTCACTGGGGCCAAGGCACTGTCCAGGGATATCCAGCTAGCCACTCACACCCACTGCACCTCATGGTAGGAAATATCTTCTGCGTCCTCACAGGCCTGTGATGAGGGTCACATGAGACAAAGATGGGAAAGTGCTTTTAAAGAAAACCTTAAATGTTTGACTTTATTATTCTCCATTGCCTGCATCAGGTCCCCTCATTTCCAAAACCTCTAAAAAAAACATAAACTGAACACAGAAGGGGATGACCTAAGAGGGCAGGGCACACTGAGCCTGAGGGTCTGTGCCTGGCTCTACACTGTTTCACATCCATTATCTCATTTAGTCCTCATTATAGTATTATTGTATCCCCATTTCACAGCCCAGGAAACTGTGGCTCAAAGAGAGTCAGTAACTGGCCCAAGAACACGCTGCCAGGCAGTCTGATGCCAAAGTGGGTGGCCGAAACCTCTACGCTAGAAAAGCAAAAACGCACACACCTCCTTCCTTGCAAGTGTTAAAAAGTAAATTAAAATGGAGACTAACCCTGAAGAATTCCTGAGCAGACAATACCAATCAGGCATCCTAAGTGACCTAAATCTTGTTTAAACTGCAAAGATAAGCAAAATTCAACCTGGGTCATATCTGATAAATGCTTATGTTAGAGAGAAATAAAACTTAACTCCAACCAATCATAAGCAAGCATAAAGTCAACTAATAGATCTTTTTAAAAAAGGCAATTTTGTAACTGCAAACCAACCCAATAATTCCTCTATTTTGCTTCCACGTTTTCCCAATAAATACTTGCCTCTGACGCTTTGCCACTGCAACACTAAACCTCTTTCAGTTTATGTTCTCCAATTCAAGAACTGCTTCTTACTCAAACTTTTCAAAATGTGTCTCACATTTTTCCTTTACACAAGAGACACGAGCACTAACAGTGTACTCTGAGCATGGCGTGGAATCGCTTTAGCGAACACCCGACTAAGAAAGAGGTGTTTGGGATACTTTGTCTCTGCTGGGGGGCTCGAACCCACTCACAGGGAAAGCTGGGCTCCCACACAATGGCTCTTCGAGCGGTGTGGGGACCGGGCGGTGCAGCGCGGGAACAGGAGGCCGGGGGAGGGGGCGCACCTGGATGTCCTCGATCATGTGGGGCTTGAACAGCTCCCGGCTCAGGAGGGCGTCCCAGAGCTGGTCCACCTGCAGCTTCTCCACCAGCAGCCGCCGGTGCCGCCGCAGAAGCAGCCGGTCCGCTTCGTCCATGGCAAGCAGCCTCCTCCATCCGCTTCCGGGCCTCGGCAGCTCGCCCAGGTCCCTAGGACCCGCCCTTGCTCCAGGTCCCGCCCCCGCGTCACTGCCCCGGCTATCTTAGCTGCACCGACTCAGGACGCAACTCCAAGGCCTCGCCCCGCCTCCAGGAGTCGCTCTTGCGTCATCTCCCCGCCCTCGGGACGCCCCTCCGCTCCTCGCCCCGCCCCCAAGGCCAATACGTCACTTCCCCACCCCGCCCCAGAGCCCGCCCCGCATCACCGCCCCGCCTTCAGGACGCATCTCCAAGGCCTTGCCCCGCCCCCAGGATTCGCTCTTGCGTCATCGCCCCGCCCTCGGGACGCACCGCAGCGCCTCTCCCTGTCTCCAGAATCCTTTCCGCGCTACCGCCCTGCCCCAGGATTCAACCCGCGCCCCCAACCCTCCCCCAAGGTTAATCTTGCGCCACCTCCCCGCCCCCAAGGTCTAGCCTCGCGCAACCGCCCCGCCTCCAAGAACCAACCCCTCCCTTCGCCCCACCCTCAGAGTCGTCCTTGCGTCACCGCCCCGCCTCAGGCTCCAGCTCGCATCCTCGCCCCGTACCCAAAGTCAATCACGTCCTCAAGAGCCATCCTCCCGTCACCGCCCCGCCCCAAGGCGGTACCTCCGCGCCTCGCCCCGCCCCCAGGGCCCAGCCCCGCCCGCGTCTCCGCCCCACTCCGGGCGCAGGTGCCCCTTTGCAATTGTGGCACCAGTTCCCGGTCCACGGCGGGCCCCTCGCCGGAATTCACTACTGCCCCAATTTTACAGAGATTCGGAGGGAGTTGTCAGACTTCTAGCAAAAAGGAAACCATTCGTGGGGCCATGGTCTGTCCCGCCCCATTCAACCTCCTCCTGGGCACGGCTTCCCCTTAGCCTCCTCCTCCACCCCAGATAAAACCATAAGCTCCCCCCGCCCCTTTGGAACAGATGGCTGTTCCAAACTCAAATGTCTGATCCGACCAAGCCCAATTTACACAGTCTTCCTTTCCCTCTTCCCTCCCTCCCACCCTAACACCTCTCACGCAGAAAAAAAAAAAAAAGCTGGCAGAAATCTAGTCCTCTAACCTCCCATCGTTTTGAACGGTTCATTTTCACATTTCAAAAATAATCGTTTCTGTTTAGTGGGTATTTGCTAAGTCCCAGGCATCGTGCTAACGACTTTTCAAGCTTATCTCATTTCTCCCTAACTACAATCTTGCCAAGAAAGTATTCCCGCCCCCCGCCTTCCGCCAATTTTGCAGACGTAGACCCTAGGGTTCAGGGAAACGGATGTTTAAGGTCACAAGAGTAGTAGTGGCCGAGATAGACAGGATTGAAACCTGAATCTGACTTTATAGGCCATACTCGAAGAATCCAGGAGTCTTAGAATATAATCGCTTGAACAGGAAAACCTCAGCCCCATCTATTCACTTATTCTACGAATATTTATTGAGCCTGGAGTCAAACACTGAGAACATGGAGGTGAACAAAACAAAATCTCTGCTCTTAGAGTTTACGTTCCAGTGGGAGGATCAGGTATAAATAAATAAGAGACTGTAGAAATAAATGAAAGATATAGTATGTTAGATAGTGGTAAACGCAAAGAGAAAAAAATAAAAACAGGGCAGGGAGATATGAAAGTGCTTTATATCCCCAAGGGATCTAACTCATTGGCTCAAAGTTTCTCTCACTCACCTGTGCCTTTTCCCTCCCCCCGCCCCCACCTCCTTTCCCCGTGCTTAAGGCAGAGACTGAACATCCTTGGGTGGAGCTCACTTTTCAGTAAACGGGATTAGGAGTCCTGGATTCTCTCAAAAAAAGATAAACAAAAATTAAAGGAATCCTGGATTCTAGGCCTTGGGCACATCCCTGCCCCTCTCTGGACCCCAGTCTCCCTATCAATATATGGAAGAGTTGGAGAGTTGAAGAATCCCTAAGGTCCCTTCCAATCCGACGCTCTAGGATTCTATGAATAGGGTTAAACAGAGCAGGGACCAAAGATTGCGTCCCCATCCTAGCAACTGTTGCTAGACGAGGGCCACCTCCCGGCAGGAGCGGAAACGCCTTCCTGGATCGGGGAGGTCCTTCTGGCATCCCATGATGCATAGCGACTTCGCCTCGCTAGGAGGCACGTTTCGGCCTCTTTGGTTCACGATCAACCCTTTGGCTGCAACCAAAGAGCGCGCCTCGTTCCTGTAGCAACCGCACCAGGTCCACGCGCAGACGGCGAGTGGCAAGGGTCAAAATAGATTCGCCAAGTAGAAGCCCTCGACCTGTTCAGTCCTCGCCTTAGGTGCGACGGACCTTTAAGCGTCACGTGACTCCCCTTCGGGCTCGTCCCCGCCTCTTTACCCTCCCCAGGCCCGGGCGAGAGCCGGTTTGGACGGGAAGCTCCCGGCCCGGCGAACTAACTGGAGCACGGACGCTGCAGCCGGTTGGGCCGGTGCCCTTTCCCGGTAACTCCTTCCAGGCGTGACGCGGGGAGCCGCGAACGCGGTGGGGCCAGGCCGACTCAGGGATTTCCCGTCAGTTGCTTCTCGTTTCCAGTCACAGCTGGGCCCGGGGGGAGCCGGGAGCCCACAGGGCCGGGCCCTGGGCTCTCGGAGGGCTGCGGGGAGGGGGCTGTCACCTGCAGGATTGCGACCTCCGGCAGGAGCGCGAGGCGGGGCTTAAACCTGGAGCTTGTCTCTGGGAGCCTCTGCCTGGTCCTAGAGATGCTGCCCAGAGGGCTGGCAGCCTACCTGTTGGGCAGGTGTTTGTTGCCCCGAGGTCGGCGCCGTCTATCTCGTCTGTCAGCGAAAAAACTTCACAGACCGCCGCCACTTGGGTCCTCTAACTGGAAGGAACTGACACTGTTAAATAAGGCAGCGATCGTACTGCATGGTAGAAATAATAGCAGTAACGACCATTTATAACTGTTTACTTTGGGCTCAGTAAACCCTTTACATGCATTTAGTCCCCCCTTACCCCGTGATGATCCTTCAAGGTAATAGTATTCGTTCCCATTTTATGAATAAGGACGCTGATGCTTAATAAGTTTAAATAATTTGCCCAAGGTCATAAAGTAGTGGAGAACAGATCCGAGTCTTCATCCCATATGCTTAACCAGTAGCTACATTGCCCTCACGTGTTTTGTAGGACATAATAGGTTGCCTTAACAAAGAAGAAACTGGTTTGTTTTAGGATGTTATTCGGCACGTATGCAATTTTAAACGTTGATCATCAGATTAGAAATTTTGTGAGGACTCCCAGGCGTCATTAAATTTGGACTTAACCGTAATCCACCGTTAACAGCCTTGCCCCTCTTCACTAAGGTGTCACATTAGATACTCAAACCTTAAAACTGTATTAACTTATGAGAAATCAAGATAAATGTGTTCCTTGAAAAAAAAAATTGTGTGATATAACAACGATCATAATTGTGGGGTATTAATGTCTACAATTCCAGCACTACCCTGCTCATGAACCAGCCAGGATGATTTCCAAAATTCACAATGAATTCAGTCACTGTACTCACCAGAGATGGAGCTTAAAACTTTTAAAGACCACCCATGTTATTTTGTCTGTACCACTAATTCTTCATTACATGGAAAACTAATTTTTTTCTGGCCACTTTTTCTCATTAAGAATGACCGTATTGGCTGGGCACGGTGGCTCACGCCTGTAACCCCAGCACTTTGGGAGGCTGAGGTATGTGGACCACCTGAGGTCAGGAGTTCAAAACCAGCCTGGCCAACATGGTGAAACTCAGTCTCTACTAAAAATACAAAAAATTAGCCCAGCCAACATGACAAAACCTTTCCTCTACTAAAAAACACAAGAATTAGTGGGGGATGGTGTTGCATGCCTGTAATCCCAGCTACTTGGGAGGCTGAGGCAGGAGAATTGCTTGAACCCAGGGGCTGAGGTTGCAGTGAGCTGAGATCACGCCATTGCACTGCAGCCTGGGCAACAAGAGTGAAACTCCATCTCAAAAAAAAAACAAAAAAAAAAAACCATATTGCTAATAATTAAAGAGCAGCTTCTCATTTTCTTGTTTGAATGGGTATGGTGAGAAAGGATAGAATTGAGGCATACTGTGCCTTAACTACACAGTTTTTTGAGAGTATTTCACCTGCGTGTTTGTACTTATTTAATGCCCAAGAAAGGCACAACTATCTCATTCTGTAGTTTGGTACATGGTAAATCTTATAGTTTCATGAGTTTAACATGTACTCAGTGAAGTATTCTTACACCATTTATTTTGTTTAAACTCTTCTTATCAGAATAAATGAAATCACATATTTGAGAGGTAGTCACCCTGGTTATCCTATTTAGGTTTTCCCACATTCATGTATTATTATTTCTGCATCCCATTCATTTTCAGTCGTTTCTAAAGCTTTTCAAGTCCAAGTATTCTGGAGAGTTGCTATTCTTATTGCTCATCTTTTCATCTGTAACGATTCTTATTTGTGATATTCAAAAGTAGTAGCGAGATTTTTTTTTTTTATTTTAAGATAGAGTTAAACAACTTGACATTTTTCCTGCAAAATACCTTTTTTTTTTGGTTTTTCGTCTATATATCTTATACCTTTACCTAAAAAGCAAGACTGTCCAGGTTTCTGCCACTGAAATTCATTGCCTCTTCAATCATTTCAGCTCTGGAAAGGAAGAGAAATGGAAGTGAGAAAGTTGAGCATTTCCTGGCAGTTCTTGATAGTTCTGGTTCTGATCCTGCAAATTCTGTCTGCGTTGGATTTTGACCCATACAGAGTCCTAGGGGTCAGCCGAACAGCCAGTCAGGCTGATATTAAAAAGGCTTATAAGAAGCTCGCCCGGGAATGGTAGGTGAATCAAAGAAATAGAAATGTAATGTAAATTAAGCAGTCTTAGCAGGGGAATGAAGTCTAAATTATGACTAGCTTTTATTTGTCTCTGTTTCTATGCTCAATATATATATCTGTCTAAAATATTTTATGCAGGAGAGCTAGTGTTCACATACGAATTGTTAGCAATAAGATCCAAAGCCTGTGTTTACTCTGAAACTCCCTTTTAGGAATACTTTGGCTTAAAGAATTGCCTTAGATACTGTTAACATATTTAATGTTAAAGTAAGAAGAAGCTTTAATTTTAAAAAAAAAATGTATCTATATATATATGTAGTCAATACTGGATATCCTACCGTTCCCATGATATGTTATTTATAAAGTAACTTTATGAGTGTAATT